ACCCACCCCCTCCACGGGATCAGCAGGCAGCCCTAGCAGCCCCTTGCCTGCCAGTTCTGCCAGGAAGCACTCGGGACACCCCAGTCCGGACACATCTATTTACATGAGGAGCACCAGAGAAGCTGCTGCGGAACCAGGCTGGGTGCGTTCTTTGCCACCAGGCCACCTCCATTGCACTGCACGAGGGCAGAGTCACTTTGCAGGTGCTGTATTTTCAGAGGTTGGGGGCAGCGACAGGTCCCTGGCTGCACAGACAGTCCAAAGGGAGGTGGGGGGATCTGCTGGGAGCATCGTGCCCTAGGAGCAACAAGGGGCTCCTGCTGGCCCAAGAGCACAGGCCAGGCAAGTGTCCATCCTGGTGTTAGTCATTCTCACTCTGCAAGGGAGAGAGGGGATAGCAGGTGAGGGGCCAGGGGCTGGGCTGGGCTGGGGGATACAAACCCTTTCAATGCCCCCAGATCCATCTGACAAGTCTCCCAGCCCTGACACACCACCTCACCTCCATTTTGCTGTATATCCAGTCGAGGAGCTTTGTCACCCGCGTGTATTTTTTTTTTTCTGGCCACATCCTGTCCCCCAGCTCGTCACCCCAGCCACATACCAGCGGCCATTGTCCTCGCAGACCAGGGGTCCTCCACTGTCACCCTGTCACAGAGGAGCAGAGCAGACAGGAGATGCGCCTCTGCTGGTACCCACCTAGGGGACACCATCATTGGGCAGAGCGGGCAAAGCCCTGCCAGTCGCATACCACCTCGCCTGGTGGGACCTCGTGCCCTGGCTCACCTGGCACGCATCCTTCCCTCCCTGCAGATACCCAGCACACATCATCCGTGGGGTCAGGTAGCCCTCGTACACCTTGTCGCTGTTGCAGATCTTGTAGTCAATCAGCTTCACCTCAGCCTCCCGCAGCTTTGGGGACGTGTTATCTGCAAGGCAGGAGAAGCCATAGGGCAGGGTGGGCCTCATACCCCCACCTCACCCCGAGATACCCCCCCAGCACCAGCGTTTCTGCAGCACTGAGGGAAGAAGCTGGTTTCTTGCACTGCAGGAACAGCCTTTGAATAACACAGCAGAGCCCCACTGGCTCCTCTTGCACGCTGCATTCACAGGTCAGGCTGCAGCACACAGGAGAGCCAGCGTCCTCCCTCACCTTCATTCTCCCTGGTCTTCCCAAAGCCGGTGATGAAGCAGGACCTGCCGGTCTGGAATCGCTGGCCGTACATGGGGAGGCAGGCTGGGCGAACCTGAGCTGGAGCGAGACATGATGAAAACCAGGCGAGGAGGAAGGAATGAGTCACCTGGGAGCAGAACTCCTGCTGTGGTCACCAGCCCTGTGGCCAGGGACGAATGCGGTGTGCAGGGAGCGCTCCCCTCTGTGCCCATCCAGACAGCGTCTCTGCTGGACCCCCAGCCCATGGCTGCCTGAGTGCCAGGACCTGCCAGGGCAGGATGGAATAGTTCCTGACCATGGGAAAGCAGCGAGGCCACAGCAGAGCGGGATGCTCCAGCTGGCAGCAGCCCAGGGAATGGTTTCTTATGAGGGGACAGAGCTGCCTCTTGCTCCTGCCCATCGCCAGACTCTTTGTGTCCCCCCAAACACAACAAGCTGAGAGGCCTCACCTGAGAGCGTCAGCGGCCTGGAGAGCTTCATGAGAGCGATGTCGTAGTCATCATGATCATCACTGTAGTTGGAGTTGATGATGACCTGGGAGACAGGGATGGCCTCTGCTTGCTGCTTTAGGTCTGAGACCCCACCATACACCTTCCAGTCATCGAGGATCTTCATGCTGTTCCTGCACAGGGAGAGGTGGAGGCAGCAAGGAGTGAGATATGGGGCTGGGCTGAGTACCTGAGTGAGGGCACTCAGCAGTGGCTGGACAGAAGCACTGCAGCAGCACTCACATGAAGAAGCAATGGGCTGCAGTGAGGACCCACTGCGCATCGATGATGGTGCCACCGCAGATGTGGACGGGCCCGTACTGCACACTGACTTGCCAGGGCCATTTGCTCACAGAGGTTTCCTTTCCTCCGATGATCCGGCCAGAAATCCTCTGCCCACATGCTGGAGGGAAGAGCAGGACTGAGAGAAGGGCCCAGAAAGAAGGCAAAGCCTGGAGGGGGACGTGCACAATATCCCCGCCACTCACAGGCACCAGCAGTGCTCGGTACGGCCACAGGGGCGAGTGGAGACCATAAGAATGCAATCATTGTAGTTTTCTATTACCCAGAAGGTTTGCTGGGAAACACATCCTATTTGCCCAACCCTGTGCAAAGAAGGGAGGAAAGCAGCTCCTACCCTTGGCCAATGCCCTGCCAGCCAGCCCCTTACTTGTGCATCGCAGGGAGACGTACTTTCCCGTGAGACACTGCGAGCTGCAGGAGAGAAAAGGGAACACAGCCTCAGACACAGCCTCACGACACCAGGGCAGGAGGCAGCGTTGCTGGGTACCTGTTGAGGCTCTGCTGGATGGTCTCTTGCTCATTGGTCACCGTGAGGCTCTTACCGGAGATGTGTAGGGGAATGTATTCAGTCTGTGATGCACTGGGAGGTGAGAGGAGAGAGCAGTGAGGGTCCCCCTGGCCAGGCACTGACCACCTGGTCCCTGCACACTCAAAGAAGCTCTCAGGGGGGACAGACTGAAACACCCAGAGCAGCACCAGCCACAGCCTTGCAGCAGAAAAGTACAGTGCTGTGGAAAGAGCACAGTGGACCATGCAGACAGCAAGGGTAGGAAAGCCAGAGCAACACCCAGGGGGCTGGCAGTGCCCCAGAGCCCAAGATGACAACCCATCCTCAGGGAATTACTTCTGAAATCCCAGCTGCTGGCAGGTCTTCCCTGAGAAGGATTCATCCCAGGCACTGCTGCCAACCGGCCAGCCACTGGCTCTCAGTGCTGGAGTAGACGTGGAGCAAGGACTCGTCGGATGCGAAGCGCACTGCGGGATGGAGCGGGTGGATCAGTGGTACCCAGCGCCCAGGGCCCCCCCTTGCTCCCACCACCCTGGCTCCTGCTGCCTCACCACAGCCCAGCTCATCACTCCTCTGGGAGCAGTCGACGATGCCGTCGCAGCGCACGGGGCTGTCCTTGCAGCTTTCGGCAGGTTCCTTGTACACGATGCCCGTCTGTGAGCGCCAGAACATAACTGGAAGCAATGAACGCTGTTGGTGAGGCTGGAGTTGCTGCAGGGGCTTGCTGTGGGCAAGGGTGCTGTGACCCACCCGGATGGGAGTCTGGAGGAGGTCTGTGATTCATGGAGCACCCCCAAACACGAGGCATGAGCTGGGTGCAGAGCCGGCTTTGAGGCCAGCTTGGGTCCAGGAGCACTGATGCACCCTGAGCATCCCCAGCCCAGCCCAGCAGCATTAACCCCACTTAACCTCTCACTCAAGCCAATCCTAGCTTGCTCCTGCAGAAAGGGGCATCAAGCCAACCAGCTACAGCTGCTGGAGAACCAGCAGGCAGATGGTACAAGGG